GATCTTCTTTTCAAGAGGAGTGTTATATACCCTTGCTTCGCTATTCCTTCTTAGGACCCTGTGCTGTACACAATAAACTTACGCTAATAGAAGTTTTTAAGACATTAATTCATTTTTAGAAGTGACTTCCTAGAGAAAACCCAATAACTGACAGACGTTTTATTTACAGTAGTCACTCTTAATCCTCAGTAGCTTTCCATGGCTTCACTTAACCACAGTGAGCTATAGTTCCAAAGGATCAACTGGAAAATCCCAGAAATAACGGATTTATAAGTTTCCGATTACTTTCATTGAAGGATGTTATTTATAATTGTTTTGTTCTGTCATTAGTTGTTGTTAATTTCTTGTTCATAATTTGTCAATTCAACCTTATAATAGGTATCAAGTACAGAACAAGAATAGGTATCAAGTATAGGAAAAGAATAATAAGTGTGTATAGAGTTCAATAATTGCCGTGAGTTCTGACACCTACTGGGGGTCTTGGAACATATTCTCTAAAGACAAATGAGGAGGTATTGTACTTAAAATTTTTAATAAAGAATTTTATAATCAAAAATTTTAAAGTAACATTATATATCTATTGGCATATATTCATGATAGTAAACACATAAATGAAAGAAAAGGAACAACAATTGTAAATCCCTTTTTTTTAAAGATCATCTTGCCTCTGCTTCTAGAGAGATCTGGAACCTCTTTAGAAACTACTTTTAATGAAATATGTCTGTGTTTTTAGTATTATCGTTCACGACTATTGTAATTAGCCAAGTCTATGAAGAAAATGAATGTGTAGTTCCTTTCACAAAGATGGAATTACAGATTTGGAATTTGATTTTCTATTAAAAGACACATTGACTTGTGAGAAAGGAGATGTTATCAAGACCAAGGAAGACAGAGATTCACACTGGGCCCCTGGGGGATCAAAACCATTCTTCACATCATTTTACAGTGTTCTTTTCAAGTGACTAACTAGTTAGCTGTTACTTTGCATTTAGTGTGGCACATCTGTTAAGGAGGGCTTCTCACAAACACAGCCTCCTTTCAAGCCCTCACTGAATACAGTTCATTCCCAGCCCCAAATCTCTCTGAGAGAAATGTTAATGAATTTCAAAAATATTTTTAATTATTCTTTGAGAATTTCACACATGTATACAATGTATTTTTATTATGTGGATTCTCTTCTTCAATTCCTCCAATATCCCTTCCACCATGTCCCCCTATAAACTGCCTACACTCTTTTCTTTATGATCCACTGAGTCAAATTAGTGCTGCCCTTGTGTGTATAAGTGTAGGGCCTCCACTAGATCTTGGACAACTTACCAGGAGCCATATCCAGGGAAAAAAAAGAACTGGCTCACCCTCCCCCAGCAACCAACAACTGCTAATAGCTTGTCTCCTACGGGGCTCATGAAGCCCCACCCCATCTGTGGTGGAATTTCAACTCAGAAGCCACTGCAAGTCTTCCAGTGGGGGATTTTTAGGGCACTGAAGGGTGCTTGCGAATTTTCTGGACACACATTCAGCTTCAAATTCATGACATTTCCCTATTAGGTACTCCCCTCCTGGTGCTTCTAGGCTTCGCTTGGGCAATGCCTATGTTCCATTTCTTTTTATGAAGTCCAAGGGCTAAATAGGGGAAGGGGAACTGGATAGCTCGGGGGCCTAGCTAGTGTCATCTGATCTCACTTACCCTTGGGCTTCCTTGAATCTGGCTCCTCTTCACACAGTCTCAAAATATGCACCAGCCCTTCCACAGCCATTGACAAGTGGTCTCTGGAGGCGGAGGGCCTGAGTTGGAAGCCAGGATCATCTAATGACTACCTGTGAGGCTTTAAGCAAGTCAGTTCTTCTCTCTCTGCCTCAATTTACCAAACTAAACAATGAGAACTATAATGAATACATTAGAAAAATGTTGGCAAAATTAAGGAGATAATACATGCAAAGCTATTAGTGTGGCGCATATGGTAAACATTTTTAAAAATTTAGTGATAAAATACATCAACAACCAAAAGTTTAAAAGGGCCCAGGATCTTAAGAAAACATAATGGGTTAGAGGAAGAAAGTGTGGAAAAATATGGGACCTAAAATGTGGGCAGAGAGATCATTTCTGGGTAAAACACAATCTGACAAATTCCTGGACCCTGGACAAAGTAGGATTACTTTTATGGCAGTTGAGGTCAGGAGGGAGGGAAGGAGGAAGGGAAGGAAGGAGAGGGAGGGTGGAGAAACATGTGGGAAGAGGATAGGGAAACTGCGGATTGTGGGGTGAGGGGAAGAGAAGTCCTCAAGTTGGAAAACAGGTGCTCTGTTTCAAGACTGTGGTCTGAGCTGAGCCTCCTGTTCGGGTGCTATTTGTATCTGCTTGTGCAGTAGTCAAGTTGACTTTCTTCAAGTGAGCCTCAAAAATCCCCATAATGCTACCTTAATAGGCTAAGTGTTCACATTCATCCTTGCCTTCTTTTTCCTTGAAAATTATAACAAGGACAACAACAACAAAAAAAGTCAAGGTTTCTCTGTGGAGTTCTGGTTTAACATCTAGGTTCAGCTCTCCCCACCCACAGGAGTCCATCCAGACACTTGAACTAGACCTGTAGAGTCAAGAAGTTCCTGCAGCTTCCAATATGCGACTAGAAAGCACAAAGATCTAGTCTGAATTCTCTTGCTTGGTCCCAATTTGCTTTGCTAGGCTGAAACAGTTGGCCACGGGAGCATTTCCCCACCCCCCACATTCAGCAAACAACATCGGAGGTAAAAATGTCAACTTGTGAACATGTCTTCCCTTTAACAAAGAAAGATTGTCTTAGGATAATCTTCAGAGTTCCTCTAATTGTATTTCTTGATTTTCCTGGCTTTATTTTTTAAAATAGTACATACATACAAAATTGTAATTTTCTATGAACTGCAAATCTTCCCTTTTAAAGTTATGAAATGTTATTTTTCCAGCTTACACTTAGGGAAACGCAGAAGCATTTTACTGGTCATTGAGGAAATCTTAAATTGTTGTAAAGGAATAGTGTTTTGTGTGGCAGAGTTGTCAAGATTTGAGTTCTTTCAATGTGTAATTTCTGTGAATACACACACACACACACACACACACACACACACACACACACACACACACATGTAACTTGGTTTGAGAAGATTCGATTCAGGACACCCAGGCTTGTTATTTTGGAGGAGGTGGTGGTTGATTTATTCTGTTGCCGTTAACAGAGAATCTTTAAGTAGCGAGACCGGGTTCCTTGGACAAGCTGTAGCCATTACAGAGCTCAGGGAGACTCTGAGATAAAGGATCGTAAAGAAGTCAAACTCTAGCGTTGAAACGGATAGAAAAATAAACAAAATCCACTAACATATAAGAAGAATAATTACAAAAGTTCGGAAGCTGGGTCAAAAATGATAAACTCGAAGCCAGTGGGAGGAATTATTCGTATAAATCTTCTTAGGATAGGTAACAAAATTTGTTCATTAAAAAAAGAAAGAAAGAAATAGGAAACAAATTCCTAATAGCATTGCGACTTAGTGTTCGGGTACTCAAAGCACAGTAAGCTAGCTCCGGGGAATGCAAGCAACTTCAGGACATTTTCTAAAGTGTTCTTTGTAGTGCGCAAGAGCTTAGAATGCGGTTAGTTTTATGCACTGGCTCCCTTTTCTGTAAATGCTTCAAGAGGCAACTCACTTAAGGCTAAATCACGTTTGTCTTGTAGGAACCAAGTGTCAGCCTCCTTGCGCTTTGTGGGGGAACAGGGGCGCACAGCTCCGGAGCCCTTAAGAAGTTTTGCAATGAATGAGTGAATGAATGAAACCTGACCGAAAAGCTGAAGGCTGGAAAGCAAGCAGAAACTTCCTGGGCTCACTGCGAGCTCAAAGCCTGCAAACTTAGGACCCAGGACAGCCAGGGCTGCTGACACTTGGGTCTGTGTCCCTTAACCCAAACACCTGTTCATAGGTGTGGTTTTGACTAAGCAGCGTCAGCCAGACGCCTGTTAGCCCCTGGGCTAGAGGAGATGCAGATGTCTCCAGGGGGGTCGAAGGAACTTTGGCTGTCCTTTCTGTACTTCCTTGAGCTGCGAGGGGCTTTAAAGATCAAATTGTGGCAGCCCTGGGGACTCCGTTTCTCCCTTCACAGTAGGGGATACCCAAATCTGATCCCTAATCGAATGGGCGAATCCTTTCCTTCTCGATTTCCTTTTTTTCTTTTTTTCTTTTTTTTTTTTTAACCAAGGGAGCAATTACATTAGAGGGGAACGAGAAAGAGAACCCAGACCACTAGGAAAGTTACAATGTTTCTTTGGGGGAGATGACGGTGCGGGTTGTTTGGACTGTGGCAGAGCTGTGGGGCCCAGACTGGGAGCGGCGCTGAGAGGGACCGGTTTTCCGGGGCTGGCAGCTGCCTAGCAAAAGTTTCCTGTGGAACAGTGGCCGGCGGGGGCGGGGGCGGGGGCGGCAGGCGCAGCCCAGGACCCGGGGGCGGAGTGCAGGCGGCTAGGGGCTGGCCCGAAGACCGTTAGAGAGCCTCGCTCGGCCCCGGGGCCCCCTGGCTCGCCTCCCCGCTGCGCGGCTGCCCACCTGGCGACGTGACGCTCCACCAATCCCCTTCGAGCTCCTCCGGGCCCCTTCGCCTTGCACCGCCCCCCTCCTCACCCTGAAAGGCGCACCCTGACCGGACCGCCCTGCGCTCTCGCCGCGGAGCACCCTTCTGGCTTCTTCGTCTCTGGACGGACGGACGCTGGAGCTCTTCCCTTGCCCTTAGCCAAACTTACTTTCCCGCCTCTGGAAAACTCTTAGCTTCTCTCTCCTCCTCCCGTCAGCTCGCTCTTTTCCACTCCATTTCCCTCTCCTCTCCCACGCCACAAACCCACCTCCCCTCTCCTCTCTCCCATCCCCTCCTCCCTCCCCGGGACCCCCCCCCCCCCCCAAACTCTTCTTCCTCCTTCACCTCAAAGACTCAGTCCCAGCGCGCCTGCTGGGCTCGGTCTCCTGCTCCGGTTCTTCTCGAAGTCATGGCAGGACCTGGGGGTTGGAGGGACAAGGAGGTGACAGATCTGGGCCACTTACCGGTAAGTAAAGGACTCCGGGCCATCGCCCTCCTAGTGCGCTTCTTTCCGAGGCTTTGGAAGCCTGGGGAAGAAAGCCCACACCCTCCAGCAGCCTAGGCCAGGACTTCGACGGGCTGTGGCTCAGGATGGGCCAGGGAAGCGCCTATGCACAATCAGCGTTCCTGGGCTCCTGGTTGAGGTGAAGGCCACAAAAAAGCAAAGGGACAGGGTGAGGTTGGGGAGAAAGAAGTGGGTCCTAAAGGGTGGGGCCCTTTCTAAATAGAGCCCGCTTTGTCTAGCAGCGCCTGGGTACTTGTAATAGCAGCGTTCCTGGAGAGGACAAGTGGCTGACCACCCACCCCCTTTGCTTCTTTTGCCAGCGGAGATCTCTACCTATGGGTGACCCCTTTTAAAAAAAAAGTAATGAGCACTAGAAAATTGAAGCATTGGAGTCACACTGCTCTCACTTTGTAGTAGCGGTTTCTAAAACTTGATTCTCACCAGGAGAATGTTCTCGATTTAGTATTGCTGGAGCGAAAAGAACTCGACGCCGCCTGGATAAGAACTGAATTCTGTACATGCCTTTTAATATTTAGAACAATGTATATTATGTCCCTTAGATGACGAAATATAATTCTTTGTTCGTTGTTATCGTGTACAGGGTTTTTTTTGCTCCATGTCCAGTTGAAATTGATTGGTGAGCTATTAAAGTCATCATAAACAGCAGACTTACTACTGTAACAACACCGTTTATTTCATTGGCATCTGGTTTCTGGCTGATACTGGATCCCACCCAAATCCATTTTTCAAGTTCCCTTTTTAGATTGGCATTTCACTTGCACCCTCTCTTGAATGCAAAGGGCCCCTGGACTCTCCAAAGGAGAACGATGCAGGCACTGTGCTGGAAGGATCGCCAAGCATGTGTTGTTCAGGGCATTGGCCTCCGTGCCTTGAGAAAAGCTAAATATTAACCGTGCAGTTATAGGACTATTCAAAGTCATCTTGCCTTAATTAATTTTGTGGAAGTTTGGCATTTAAAGATACCTGTTGTTAATGATGGCAGATACCTGCCTCCCTAAAAATGGGACATTCCCAAGGCCTCCTTTTATAATTTTGCAGATGTGGTATGGTATGTGGTAAGGGGAGGTGATCTACTTGGGTAATATTTTAGCAAACTATTTCAGTCATTAAAGGACGTACTTCAATACAAAACTGTTGAATGGCAGCTGGTAGAATTGTTATTGTTGCAACTTCATAAAATAAGACCAAAGAATTAAAAAATATTAAACCATTTTTCATCCCACATACACCTGAAATCATTTCTTTTCCAGGATGTATACATGAGATTTCTGGATTATGGAGGCTTCAATTGGCGGATTGCCTTCTGAGCAGAATTTTCCTATTCAGACTAAGATTGATTTGGTCCTAAATAAGACTGTAAAGTCAGTGGGTGACCTGCTCACCTCCTCAACATTCTCAGGCTCTGTGTGTGTGTGTGTGTGTGTGTGTGTGTGTGTGTGTGTGTGTGTGTGTGTGTGTGTGTGTAAGCACACATAAACAAGCTGAAATAAACTACTTTCTAAAAATGGTTAGATTGGGGGATGGAAAAGACCTTATAGAAATGATAACACAGGGAGTTCCAAACCCAAAGAACACAGACAACAGAAAGTAAAGGTGCCTAACCACAAACGTCAGCGAGAGAGTCCCTGGATTAACTAACCTGGTCATGGCTTTGGGACATACAGATCATGACGAGAGTCCATAAGAGAAGCCAAAAGGCTGAAATCTTTATATTACAATTCACTAGAACATTAGTGTTCTCAAGATTAGATTGAGGGTGGCCATGGATATAGGAGACAAACATGAGATTGGTTTGTAATGTTGGGGAACATGGAAAAGACAAAAACGTAGGGTACAAATTATATTTTCCCTCATTTTAAATCATCATGGAAGGTTCAATTTAGGAAAATTCTTATATTTCAGAATTTTATTTTAGGGTAATTTTCTGTATCATCTGAACAAATCATGGGTAATTCTCCCCTCTCCCTAGATCCAAATTCCAAGAAAAGAAATAGAGCTGAAGAGCAGCATGCTCTTCAATATTTTCTTTATATCAAATGTGTAGAGATTTAAAGTCATTGTTTCTTCAGTCACCGAGGTGTAGTTCTTTGTTTTGTTTTACATTTAACTTATATCCTGAAGACTTTGAAGTAAATGAATAGATGAACTGGTAAGTTAGATAGACATTTGCATTTTGATGCAGAGAGACATGATCAAGCAAAGAAAACAGCATAGGGCAGTGTCCCTTGCAATAGTTATTTTCAATAGGACACATATGAAGGACAGAATATTGGCATATGTCCCTGCTAAGTGTAACAGTTTGGAAACAGCTAGATAATGAGGAGATATTCAAACCATGACGTGTCAAATTGATCAAAAAGAATCTTGGAGGCCTGGATATAGACTGGCTGAGCTGTAGAGTGCATGTCTAGCACGCACAGGTCCTGGGTCCAGTTCCCATATTACACAGGCACACATAAACGTATATGCAAATCTTTCAGAGTATAAGAGTACAATTAAATATAGGTTTTGGATTTATATATTACGTACTCTTTGTGATTGGTCAATTAAATGAACATAAACCAGAAGCCCTGGAGAGTACAAGCTTGGGCAAGAGTACAAATCAGAATTTAAAGAAAGGGATAGGATTTGAGTCATGGAAGCGGAAGGACCATGACTTTGGGGCTAGTGCAGGCTACATAGGGAGTTCCAGAATAGCCTGAGCTTCCAAAAAGACCCTCTCTATAGCACAAAACAACAAAAAAGTGATATAAATTATTCGGTATTTTTAATTAGATAATATTTTATGCCTAAAACATTAAGCAATAGTGAAAGTAGAGGAGAAAATTACATAAATTTCACATTTGTAAATGTTATTTTCATGTAATTATAAAGCCTTTTGTTTAGGGCCTTAGACACATAAAATAAGAAAGCCATTAAATATCAAGGAATAGGTCAATTTAATCATATTTACTCTTTGTTTTTAAGATAGGGTTTCATGTAGCCCTGGCTGGCTTCCAACTATTTATATAGCTGACACTGGCCTTGAGCTCCTGGTGTTTCTGCCTTTCTTTTCTAAGTGCTAGTAGTAAAGATGGGTCACCACATAATCATACTTGTTAATGACCTGCTCTAACGTTTCCCAATTTTTAACTGAATATATATTTCCTATAGGAGAAGAAAAGTACAGAGGTTTGTGGTTTATGCTTCCTTTCTTTGCAAAGAGAGTTGCAATGTTGCATGTGTTTAAATTATTATATATTAAATTTGTATTAATTTATAATTTATTATATATGTATGTATAATTAGTAAGCCTCCATAACTCAATCTTCTTCATCTCCAAATCTAGCTAGTCTTTCACTGCGATTGTCCCCCAAGCCTTCTCTGCCCAGTATGGTAATGACATTCCTTGTGGCTTTGGCCTTGGTATTTGACACTCCCCTGTGTACTCTTAATCTATATTGGGGTCAGGATTAGACAGGCTTTGAGGACAGTAGTGGCAGAGGTGATCTGAAATAGTACATGATCCAAACACTATATTTGAAATACATTAGGCTTATATTTAAATATAACTTCCAGTTTTCCCAGTCTTCACTAAGAAGGCAAAAACATGAGTTCCGCTTTCAGTCATGAGAAGCTTCCCACTTCACCAAATCCCTTAGCTGCTTTGTGGAAGCCATTTTGCCTTCAAGGGTGCAAGGTTTGACATATCCTGCATACCATCCATTGCACGTAGAATACTGCCTCAGCTTGATGTTGCAATTCAATCCGTTTTCTAAGCCACGTCCCCTGTCTCTAGGACAGTGTTTTTTTCCAGAGGTTCGTGCACAGAGACAGAGTACGTGAGTTGATAATCATCTAGGTATCTTAAGAGAGTCACCCAAGGGAATTCTGACTTCGTCATTCCATACTAGCCCTAAGGATTCTTTATTTTTAAAGAGGATTTCTAAATGAGTCATGTGGAGAGAATATTTATGAAGTAGTCATCTATAAAGACTCTGATTCTATTGTGAAGCTCATCCCTGCCACTATCTCTGAGTTTCATTCTAGTACTTATCTCATTAGAACCAACGTTTTAGGAACTCTAGCCACAAGTTCTTTCCATGATGGAAGAAAATCCTCTGCTGTCTCTCTCTGTATACTCAAGTGTTTATCCCACTCCCCTTGCTGTGTCACCGGTGGAACATGTTCCCTAACCTTTACGTGAATGTAAGTACATTTGAAACTTCTTGCTACCTGTGTTGACCATGTGCCCCTTTTCTCTCCTCCTTTGTATAGGCGCATTCAGCTTTATTGATCAGGCTACGACTGTGTCTTCCTTGACCAGGAAACACTGCCTTCTAGTGGTTTTTTTGCTTCCTTCTTCTGTACCCTTAAGAAATTGGCCACTGGGGTGCTCAGCCTTTCCTTCTCTTCCTGCCCTCAGAAGAAACAACTCTCAAGCTCCAGCTTTCAAGGGCAACTCAATTAGGAATTTTAATTTGCTAGAGATAATTTGGATATATAGAAATATGTAAAAAATATTTTTTTTAAATTGCCTAATCGTTTCTGGCTTAGAAGTAAATTGACTTTTTTTTTCTTAATCTCACTTTTTAAGAGAAGATCTAGGAATTTGGGTTTCTTATTTTATAGTCCCGAATAAACGTGGGCTGACTGAAATGGAAAATGAGATATAAAGATTGTGTATTAATTTGTAAATCAGCATAGGTCTTCCCTCTTTCTATCTGAATTTAGTAAGCATTTAGTTGTAAAACAGAGATGAGACAGATTAACAACATCACACAAAATGAATGAAAACAATAGCCTTAAAACATAAGAATACTAAGTTTGACATGCTTTTAAACTTGAAATTTAAAAAAATGTGTTATTTGATTTAAGGTGAGCAGTAGGGTAATTAAGATGGTGTCATTATTTGTGACTAGAGAACAAAAAGATATCTGCCAACATTCATGAAGCTAAAATAAGATTTCTGTGATTTGCACAGTACAGTTCCTCATTTTCTCTTTTGAGTACTTAGATACTTGACTTAAAATCTTACTATAAGATTGTTGTTGAAGGGCAGAAAGAGGATAAGATAAATTTCTAACTTTTTCTGAAGATTCAGAGATACCAGCTATATCAACAGACGATATGAGAGTGCCCTAACATGGTATCTTTATCATGTTAAACACAAACATACTTATAAAAATAATAGCTTATCAATAAGAGTTAGCTAATTTGTTTAATTGTTTTAAGAAGTAACCCGGCCCTGCAAGATGGCTCAGCAGGTAAAGGTGCTTGCCCCAAAGTCTGAAGACTGGAGTTCAATCCCCGGAACCCACAAGGTGAAAGAATGGACTCCCACAAATTGTCCTCTGACCTCCACATGTGCATTTATGGCATGTGTGAATGTGCCCACACACAGTACAGAATGAATAAAATACACAAATAAATAAATGCATTTTTAAAAAGTGAGCAGTTGTTGTTTCTCTTAAATTGCTAATGGTGTAAATAAACTTCTCAATGATATCTTTGAAAGAAATGTGCTAAAGCAGTAGTCCCTAAAACCTGGTTCTTAGTAACTCCTTTGTTGCTTACCTCTTCCACATACATATCCAAGAGAGTCATAGCAAAAGTTATATACTAGATATTAAATATGCTTTGCTTATCAAATAATAAAAGCTGTCATTTAAACATTTTTTTTACTTTCAGTAGGTGGATGTACCTTGATCTATTTGCTTCTAATCATGACGTTATTGTGTTATTAATTTTAATGAATGTTTTAAGAAAGTATAATTCTGGGTTGCTACCCTGACAATGTTTTTGTCAATCCTGTGGAAACATTTGGATTTTAGGATGAAATAATCTGATATTTTTCCTATAAAATATTACAACTCAGACAACATTAAATATAACGCCTTTGTTTTCCATGTGTGCTAATGGAACCTGAGAGAATAAAGAAGTTTTCCAGAGTTATATAGTTAATAAAAACAGCTCTGGAGCTAAAACTCAGTTCTCCTGATTCTCCATCCATTTGGATACTTGTTGATTAAGATGAATTCAGAGTTGTCATTTGCCTATGACAGTTTTGCTAGATCACATAAATATCACACTAATCTTAAGAAATCTATGACTTTCTTCACATATGTTCCTTTCACTAAGGTGCTTTTCGTTTATTCTTTTTTATATTACATTTTTCACAGTGATAAAATTATTTTATAACATCATTAAATATTTATGTTCTATATACTTTCTGGATTTCCAAGTATTTGTTAATTTCTCTACCATTCTTGTATAAGTTGATCTCTACTCATGGTTCATACAAAATTTTCTAAAATCTCTACTGTTGATTAAAAAACAAGTAAAATGTATGGAACCATGTTTTTGGTGAATAGAAAAACAATACTCACATTACAAGGTAAGGGCATAATCCTTGAGGATGCGTATGGAAGATTCAGAACTGTATCCAAAAATACATTTTCTTAGATGTGAAGAGTCAAGAAACTATTGATCAATTTGTGCCATGAAAAAGACACTCAGTTGATATAAATGTGAATGTAAGAAGCAAAACCAACACTAGCTGCTGTTTTTAGTTCAAAACTTCTAATGCCTTGACTTTTGCTTTGTTATGTGTATATAGAGATAGTAGTTATAAGGGTAATAAATGAGTTCATTAGACTTTGCATCCAATATCTACCTCTCATTCATGAATGTTAAACTTCTTAATCTATCTAGTTAGAACTCAAAAATAGGTAATGAGTGAATACTTCTTCAGCAAGTGCATGAACTTATTTCTATCTTACTTACCTATGTAATTTACTCAGAATTACTTACTTGTATATATTTTACAGTATGGTTGCATGAGTTCTTAGTGTTCTTTTTTATAAATGACTATAGTCAATCTAAGGACATTGTTACCTATTCTTTGGGGAAATGGGGTCTTGAAAGAACATGTTTCAGGATTTTGTAAATTCCAAAGGAACAATGCAGATTGGAATCGTTTTTAAGAAAGCTGACCATTTTTGTTCTACTTTTTGTAGGACCCAACTGGAATATTCTCACTAGATAAAGCCATTGGTCTTGGTACTTACGGGAGAATCTATTTGGTAAGTGGAACTAGGTTATTTATTCATGCTTAATTTTTTTTAATAACAGTAATTGTGAGTCAAACCCCAACAATGCAAATAAAATACTGCTAAAATATAGTGCATAAATCTGAGAGGTGAAACAACTTGAATATATCATTGAGATTTTAAAATTTATTGTTTATTAATGCAAAAATGGATTGGAAAAACTATGCTGAACCAATGAACATAAGACGTAAAATTAATAAACTGAAACTCTTTGATTGAAAGGGGGAAATCAAATAGAATGTACCAAAATAATTATATTACTTGTTTTATAACCTATATCAATGGCTTTTAGTTATCTATATTCAACTTTAAATTGAATGTTTTATTATTGATAGGCAAAGTTCATTAATTTTCTATATTAGTGCACATGAGTCTGCAAATATGTAGATAAAGTTTGCTAAAGAATTTCTCAAGAAAAGCTACACTTATTTAATAATTATATATTATACACTAAGTATTCCCCTAGGAACTATGATAATCTCTTGGGATGAAGTAATAAATAAAACAAGTGTAGTTCCTACTCTTCTGAGGCTTACAATATTGAAACATATCATTAAGTGTGCATATGTATAGAGGCTTGTTTAAAACACCCACGTATGATATGTAAGTAAACACACAGCTATGTAATTTTAATTGTCATGTATTAACTGTTAGGAAGTTTATAGCAATATAGATGTATAAAACATGGAAATTCATTTAGATTGGAGGATCAATGTTGACCTACTTCCTGAGAGGTTAAAAACTGATATCAGGAGGATAAAAATGAGGTGTTGTTGAGGTGGACATTAAGACATTCCAGGGGGTAGGACAGTAGTAAGGACTTGCAAGTAGCCTTGTCACCTTAGTCAGGCCTGCTTCTTGTACTTTAAAATATGGTAAACTTCTATTGTCTCTGTCTTGTAATGTTATAAAATATAAGGTTCTGTATAGGGAAGCATTCTTTTCTCCAAGGCCTTTCCCTTGAAACCAATATTACTGTCCCTAGGCTAACCTTACTGCCCACTGAATTCAGATCATATTTATATGGATTGTGTAGCAATGCCCTGATATAGACCTAAAGTAAACATCTTTCCATCAAAACACGGGTACCCTCTATAAGGACATGTCTGGAGCAGCATCTTCCCAGTGAGACTTCTTCTCTAATTTGTCTGCCTACATTGGAGTGAGAGATGCTTTTTAAAAAAATTCACCAAAGCACATTCCACATAGTAGCAAGAGCAATGTAGGCAGGTCCAAAGTATAGAAAGAAGCTTGGCAAGTACAGGGAACTGAGAGAGTGACAATAAAAAGGACAAAAGTTTCCTTTTCTTCAAATAGTTTTGATCTTACACATAAACTGAACTGATTATCTACAGACAGTAATAATGGCACAGAGCCAAGTATATATTGCTTATGCCATGTTTCCTTTCATGCTTGGTAACATTCTCAGTTTTACCTCCTGATACAGTGATAAAACACCAAATACATGGGTAGTAAAATACCTTTTTATGACAGACACATTTATAATATGCATATTATAAAAATATTTCAATTCCTGAGGTGGGTTAATATATATATGTATGTGTATGTATATATATGTATATATATATGTGTGTGTGTGTGTTTGTAATTCTTCTAAGAAGTATACAGCCTTCTTCATCACCAAATGTTGGAAATAAGGTAAGAATTAAACATTCATCAGAGCTGTGATGTCCTCACCAGAAGAGCAGTCAAAAAGGTAAAAAGGTTATGCATGAAATTTTTATTTTTTTGAAAAACTCTGTGTCTAGTATATAATTAATAAAATTCACTCATGAGTTAAGCAAATATTTATAATCATATAGGTATCACCACAATGAACATTTAAGTATAGATCTAATGTTAATGTAAGCCAAGGAATCCCTTTACACTTAATTGTGTGGTATACCAGATGATTTGCAATGATTATGATTATTATGAATTTTGTTTTTACATATAATAAAAACCTATAATTGTGCTATAAGTTTATTTATATTGAATATACTCATTGTTTCCATACTTACTGGGATTTTGGGGGGGATGTTGGGTGGTCAACTTCTTAGACAAAATACAAATAATGCCTTTATATCAACATTTAGTTTAACCATTTCTAGAATTTTCATTTCTTTTTTGAAAATCCAATTTTATATCTGGTATGAAGAGCTTAAGATTGAAGACCTGAATGTTCCTTATAGTTTGAGGTTTCTACTAATGAAATACATGACTTCTTTACTTCTGGAAGATATTTACAGGCATAGGAGCCCGAATGACATTTTCTCTCAGCAATATAAACATGTCACTCCATTTCCATCTGGTTTCCATAGTTTCTGAAGTGGTGTGTGTGTGTATGTGTGTGTGTGTGTCCATGTCTGTGTGATTCAGAGATGTCCTCTCTCATTTTCTTGCCCTGTCCTTTATTTTGTCTGTGCCATAAATCCACACAGATGCCTGTATGTCTGTAATTTCAAATTTCATCCTGTATCTCACTTTCCAAAACTTTTGCAAATTCATGCTTGGTGCTTAGTAATTCACTTAAAAAATACGTGATTTCTTCATGTCTGCTTGTCTGTATTTCTGTTCCCCCTGCAGCCATAGGTGAGCCCATACCTTTCTTCAGACTTAAGGCTTGTTGATTGCTTTGAAACTTCTCTCTAGATTCAAAAAGTATGATTTTGTAGGTAGATTTTTTTTTCTTGATGTTAGGCTAGGAATGGTTCTCTCTGGATTTCGTATCCTCATCCAAAGTGAGAAGTGTAGCTTAAATTTTCCTGCCTGGCCCACAGTCAGGACAAATCTCTATCACCTGCCAGTCCCACAGCCACTCAAACCCGACCAAGTAAACACAGAGACTTATATTGGTTACAAACTGTATGGCCGTGGCAGGCTTCTTGCTAACTGTTCTTACAGCTTAAATTAATCCATTTCCATTCATCTATACCTTGCCACATGGCTTGTGGCTTACCGGCATCTTCACATGCTGTTTGTCATTGTGGTGGCTGGCAGTGTCTCTCTGACTCAGCCTCCCACTTCCCAGCTTTATTCTCCTCCTTGTCCCGCCTACACTTCCTGCCTAGCCAATGGCCAATCAGTGTTTTATTTATTGACTAATTAGCAACACATTTGCCATACAGAACACCCCACAGCAGAGAAGTCTATCTAAATTTCTTTTAAATGAATGCTCATGATGCAGTCATTAGTTGTATGGTAGAACACATCAACTTCTAAGAATTTTATGTGAACTATTTAGATCCAGAGGTTAAAAAAAAATACTTTCCACTCTCCAATTTTCTAAGCAGAACCCAGTTTCGGGATGTTGATGATTAAAGCTCTATTTACAACATAAAGATTTCTTTCTGTCACTCACACGTGACTTTACTATTTTTCATTGTATCTCAAATTAATTTCTTTCTGTAAAAAGATACATTAATATTACCCTCATAGAAAACAACATGGAGTAAGTAGTCATCAGTTTTAAAGTGATTATCCTCTTTACACTAATAGTTCTACTTTTAGAAGTTTTTAATAAAATACTCCAAATTAGAAGAATAAAGATGCTCCCTGCAGCGGAGAGTTGGCACATTGTGGTGAAGACAGCTCCTTTGAACCAGGCAGATCTAATTAATTCAACGCTTAGAGCTATGACAGGGAATCGGTCATTTAACCTCTGATTACACGTTTCCTTCTGTTTATAAGACACAGTTCATCCTACTTACCTTGCAAACTTGAATGAAACTTAGAAGCAGTATTTAGAGAATGTTTGACACATGGTAGATCTGTTAAGATGGCTATTACTGCCATTATTGTTGCTATTATTTCCACAAAGAAAAATTCAGTGACACTGTAAATAATAAAAAAAAAAATTAATGGAAAGGAATTACCTTATATTTAGTATTTCACTGTTCTGTAAAACAGTATTTAGTAAAATGACAGAAGAATACTTACTAAGTAACTAAGTAGCTAAGTAACATAGTCATTATTATACTTATGTCTTAAATATGCAGATGAGAAATATTGAATAAAACTGTTAGATTAATAAGATATTGGATAATTTTTCTAGTCATATTTTTGCTAGATTGTCTTTTCTGTCTATAATATTACATAGTTGAGGTAAAAACATGTGTCTATATTTTACATAGATATATACATCTATTATATATTAGACATTACCAGCTGTTAAACAACTAATCTATACAACGAAATGGAGATACGATACCATTCAAAGTTAATGTAAGAGTGACTCACAGAGTCCTCTGTTCTTTCAGTACTGCCAACCACATCCCCTGCTGTTGTTTGTTTTGGTTAAAGTCTCTCCAATGTCTTCCAGCTTGTTTCCAAGGCCTCCTTCTCTGGCAGGTTTCCAGCTGTCTGCTGAGGTCTGTGCACATAGAAATGAAGACCAAGTTTCACTCAACTCTACCTAGTAACTCTTTTCCCTTCCTTCTTCTAATTAGACACCTGTCTTCCCACCCTGTCCCTCTTCCCACCAATACAAGCTTCACTAGAAAATGTGGGTTTCCTTTTCCTTCTTCATTTTAAGAGAGAGAGAAAAGTACTGCTCTTCCCCTTTTCCCCAAGTGGGGTTAGATATGGTATTTTCTCTCTACCTTTAACTACTAGTCTCATAGCTTCTTATTAGTAATTTCAATTGGAAGAATATTTGATATTTGGCGATGGAAGGATATAGCTGCAAAAAAGAAAATCGGTTATGGCCTGGTAAGATGGCTAAGTGGGTAAAGGCACTTGTACTGTAAGCCTGATGACCTGAGTTCAGTCCCCAGAGCCCTTACTTAAGAAGGTAGGAGAGAATCCAATCTACAAAGGTGTTCTCCAATCTTCGTATGTGCCTATGGCACATGAGTGATGCCTCCCACTCCTCCAGAGAGGGTAAAAATCGGTTGCAACTCATTCTTCAGTGAGGCAGGATACAATTCAAATTTCTCAAGGTGCAATGTATACAGAGGTGCCGTAGTAATTTT